ACACACACACACACACACACACACACACACACACACACACACACACACACACACACACACACACACAGTATTTGTCTTTGAGACTCTCTCCTGTGAACCACTGAGGTCTGATGGGTCACGTCCCCTGTGTCCCCCCCCACGTCCTGCTTGTGTCGTGTTTCCCTCTGACTGAGCTGATGGTGGACTGAAGGTGACCTCCAGGACAGGGGGCGGACCAATGTGACATCAGCGTGACATCAGCGTGACACTCCGACACATCGGTGGTTCAGAGTTGTTCAAATGGATATATTTAACAACGTGTGGGAAATAATGGGATCATACAAACCCATGCTAATTTGGCCAAATGTTACCGGCTTAATGGTTTATGATTCACTGTGATCGCCCCCTGGTGGCTGGGTGCAGTATAGGTCATTTTATATAGGAACCTGTCATCATATGTTTAATATCTGTTAACTTTAGTTTCTTGTGTTTTTTATTCTTCCAGTGGTTTGTGTTCGTGTTTCGTCCACTCACCCAGCAGCAGGTACGGTTTGACGGCTCCAACCTGCAGGTCCCAGGAAGTGTCAGGGACGTATCCCAGCATCTTCTCCGGGGGGGCGGGGTCCTCAACCACAGTGATGGTCGAGCCCTTCCAGGTCTCGATGATGCGGCGGCCGCTCAGCGATGTCACGCGGGTGCACTGCTTCCTCAGCCGTGTCCGAGAGAAACTCTGGATCTCCTCAGTCAGGGACTGCATGACCGCACCGGACTGGATCTAACGAGACTGGACCGGGCTGCAGCGAACCTGGAAGATTAAAGCAACACCGAACCGTTTGCTGAGCAGCGACAACGGCGCCCTCTGCAGCAGCAAGTGGTAATTACAGGACAAATATCTGCTGGGCTCTGATTCGAAGCTCTTGAGGTGGCGTGAAGCAGCGTTAAAGATACAGGATGAAGAAAACCAGGTCCATCCATCACTCAGGCAACAAACAGACACAAGAATCTTAATCCCAGCACAAATCAAAACTGTCCGCGTCACAAATGTCAAACCGAAATCCTCCCCGTGGTAATTCTGTCTTCAGGTGAACAGATCTTTGTGCAGCAGCAGTTCTTCAAGTTAACTTCAGATTGAATGGTTTCAATGATTCTAATTGATATTTGATATGTTTCACTGTTCTGACTCCTGATCCACAGGTTTTACCTTCAAACTGGAACCAAAGGAACATTTTCAACACGACAGGAGGATTCACATGTTATGTTTAAGTCAAACAGATACCGGATGAGTGAATATATAACATATCAAACAACAGAACCATACAGGTCAAAGAATGGTTGTTTTGATTGACGGCCAGTCAAATAGAAATAAATAAGAATAATCATTAGTTTATAAAATGTTTTAAGTGTCATTCTCTGTCCATAAAGAAGAGTTTAAGTATTTAACTCATTATCAAACTTTTTCTCTTGATAGAGGTTTTGGTTGATGTATCATCAGGTGTCGTGATAAAAACCTGTTTGTTCAGACGTTCAGTTCTGGTCCGACTCTGGTCGCAGTGGATCTGGTTCAGCTGAGGACAGTTTAAACACCAGAAACCAGAGCGGTGCGGAGATCCAGGTCAGTTTCTAGATAAAAGAAATACACTCCTCCTCTCGTCATCTTACAGAGAACACACTCCAGTTCAGTTCTGTCCAGTCCTGGTCAAAGACTCTGAACCAGGTCCAGGTCCAGAAGAAGTCCAGTGTCCAGCTGTCAGTTGTGTCGTCTGTTCCTGAGACACTGAACTGTGAACTGCAGCGACTCTGCTGGAGGTGACCCTGCTGCTGTGTAACATGAAACCTGCCTCCTGTCAGTCCGTCAGTCTGTCAGTCCGTCAGTGATGCTCCAGCACGGTGACACATCCACACACACAACTAATGATAGACATTTTTACATAGTTAACATATTTTATTTTTTATCTAATTTGCAAAAATAAAGTCTCAAATAAGAAAAACATCACACAACCTTCACAAACTCACTGACGGGTAAAACAAAAGATACCTCATAGGTACAGAACTGGAGAAAATGTGTTAACTTTTACCTCGTCGTGTGATAAAGGGGTAAAATGATTCATCGATAATTATCTCAAGGCTCTTTACATCGGAGGTCAAGACCGAAAGTGTTTTTACAGAGAAACCAACAGTTTAACGATGAGCAGCACTTTGAAGAAACTTCTAGAACCAGACTCAGTGTGGAGACATCTGCCTCGACCGGCGGGTGAGCGGAGAGACGTGGGGAGGAGAAGATAAACAGGTGAATGAGACCATTGATTCTGATCCTGTGTGTGTGTGTGTGTGTGTGTGTGTGTGTACAGCTGGACTCTTATTTATGTTGGAAAAGATTCTGGCAGTTTCCATGAATATTTCCGCACACAGAGGGCGAGAGAGAGGGACAGAGAGAAGGAGAGGGAGAGGGAGAGGGAGAGGTCGGGTTTCTGGAGAAGTTTATTTGTCTCTCAGGGAGAGACGAGGAGAAGGAAGGAAACAAGGAGAGGAAAGAAGCAAAGAGGTGAGGAGAGGAGGAAACAAGGAGATGGAGCAATAAGAGTATGTAAAGATTTATGTTACTTTTCAAAATAAATGTCTCAGAGAGATTCAAACACAAAAAACACCAAACTAACTCGGTGACACAAAAACAAAAGGGTCATGTTGATTAGTTGAGTCAGAGTTAAGGAGTGCAGGTGGGTCAGAGCTGAGCTGAGGGGACGGTTACGTTTTAATGTTCAGAAGTTGTTCAGGCAGCTGGACTTGGCTTCTTGTGTCTTGTTGAAGATACCTGACGACTGAGACTCACACACTTACTGGGTAATGGTAAAAGTGAAGGTGAGGTTTAAGTTAAGGTTATGGGCTGAGTATATATACATATATATATATACCTTAGAAATGGCCAAAGTAAAAAAGTGTGTGTGTGTGTGTGTGTGTGTGACAAGAGGCTTTAACGTCAGAAACACAAACACACTCACAGAGATTAAATCATGAGGATGGACAGAACAAAACGAAAGAAAGGAGGGATGGAGGAGAAAGTGCTGACTCAGTTTTCTGCTTGTTGATCCATGAGTCAGAAAACCCAGAGAGGCTGTGTGTGTGTGTGTGTGTGTGTGTGTGTGTGTGTGTGTGTGTG